TATACATAAAAAATGAACCACCGCCTAATCAGGTATTACATGGTAAAAATGAACATATTGTAATGAAAGAGCCATTCATTTATCTTTCCTCCCTTTGACTAAACAATCTGAATTATTTTTCTAAACAGGAGCCCTAAGAAAGCCATTATAATTCAGTAGAATGGATGCTTTCTTTAAATTTTTCTGGGAGAATGCACACTAGGTCAAATCGAGCATTGGCAAGAGAACACCACACATTGACCTCAACAACTTAACTCTGAAGTGTTTTTTAGGAGGTGGCTTAGGTTGAGTCATTCTTCTTGTTTTCTTTATAGTCTGCTTTTAAACCAAACCACACATTCACAGAGTAAACATCCCAATAATTAGCTCATGTAGATTATCTTACTATCTATTTTAAAAACAGATTTGGGCCAAGGATGAGCATTTTTGAAGATCCCAGCCTTAAGAGTCAACAAAATTCAGCTAAGTCATGCATACCCCAAATTCCACTTCCAGAAAGACTGGGTGAATCCCCTGACACATTACAACTGCCCTTAGATCTTGCAGGTATTAAGACAAAGGGAACACAAAGAAGGCACCAGCATGTACCTCTTGTGATAGTCATGGGGCTGCTCTGAAGTTATTTATGAACTAGGTACTAGAATATTTACCCACCATTCCTTGGGTTCTTAATTCTAATTAGTTTCATTTTTACAAGGGGCCAATTCTCAGAGCCAGCAGAGTAAAAGATCCTTAAACTGTGTCATGGGGTATACCAACCCCACACTGGACCTGAAGTGGTAAATTGGGCTAACTGGTTTAGAGCACCCCACCACCACAGCCCTGCTGTGATTCAGCTGGAAGACGAGTATAAAGACCCCTGGACCAGCTCAGTCAGGGCTGACCACTGTGGAGGAAGGAGCTGCTTTGGGAGCTCTGGAAGAAGAGTGGCAGATGGACGGAGCCATGGAAACCAGCCAGTGGAGAACAGCCGGAGAAGCCCTCAGCCCGGATGAAATTGGAGAGGAAGCAGACCACCAAGGGAGGCTGGTAGGAAGCGGTGCAGGGCGAGGTGGTCATAACTCTGAGAGCTCAGTGTGTAGTGGGGGATTCCCCTCTGAGTTAATGGTGGGACCCACCCACCACTTATAGAGCCCTGGGCTGGGATCTGTTGGAGAGTGAGGGCTTGGGTCCCCCTACCCATGTTCCGCCTATGCTGTGCGCTCAAAAGCTCAGGGCTCCATGTTTGGGTGGGGCTGATTGACTTGGTGGGGCTGATTCATCTCTTGTGAAGCTATGCTGCTGTGACTTACAGCTTAGCCGGAACACTGCCCCCTATCTCATCCCACTAACCCCCAAAAGGGGTGCTACTGCTGTAACTGTGGACTCTGGCTGCTAGGTCTTACTTCAGGGAGCTGTTGGTGCTGATTTTGGCCAGTGGGCCTTATTGTCCTATACACTGGGGGCTGCTATTGACTCAGACAGCTGGACTCTATTGCCCTGAGAACAGGGATTTGTACTGACTTGGGCCACCAGATCTTATTGCCTTATTGCAACAGTGGGGTTGCTATGGACCTTGATAGCTGGACTCTTGTATGGGAGAAGGGATAGTGAGAGATCTGGGGACACTTGGGACTGTGACACTCATGGGGTAGAACATGCACTGAGGTGTCTGACAGGCTTAAAGCCCTGCCTCAAAGTGGAAATGGGCATAACCACCCCATGACAAACTGTTTCAAAGATTTTATATCCAGAGGCAAAGCAATTTCCATCGGGGAGCTGTTCATTGTCAACCCCAAACCCACTAGGATATCTAAAGAAGATAAACCTGATTAAGCCATCTATCATAGGGTGATAGGGTTTTAGTTAAAATGGACATGTACAGAGATTGCTTATTGTTCTAAAATCCTTTTCTCTAAAGGCTTTATTCCTAATGTTGAGGTTAAACACATTGATTTAAGAAGGCTGTCTGGTCACTCGATTCTGGTCACTCTATTCAACATTCATTCTAGAGTCCTAAAGAGAAGAAATAGAGGTGCTGGGCCTAATTGTACCTATTGGGTGAGTATAATTGTTAGACTGTGTACTATAAGCCAGGGCCTGTCTTAAGAATGGGAAAAATGTATGATTTCACCCCAGCAAAGATAAAGCCAGAAGGCAGCTAAGCTAATGGCTTTGGAAAGATCAGAGAAGGGACAGTGGAGTAACTAGCCCTGCAACAGCAACTCTTGTTCCCATCGAGTCTCAGCATCAAGTCCCAGTCTTCCCACTGAGAACAGCAGGACTCTTCCCACCCACCCAAGCTGTTCTGATATTTTTAAATTTGAAAAGCACTTTAGAATACAAAATGGAATTGCAAAATACCACTTCCTTACCGTCTCCAAAAGATGAGCTGATTTTATGGAAATGGAGGGTTGGATTTTGAGCCCCGACTGTAAGATTCAGAGCTTTGTTTTGTTTTATAAGAAAAAAATTGGTTAAAATAACCATGTTATGATATGCTTATACTTCCTTCCATAAAGCATTTGACTCATTGCCACATGATATTTTGATTTTTTTAAATGTAGTACAGTACCTAACACATTTATTAAAAAGCCACCTAACTGATAGACCTCAAACTTATTATAGGAAGACCATCCAACAGAATTGTTTTTAAATAGGGTCTTGTAAGGCTCTGTTGGGGCCCAATACTCTAATACTTGTCAATGATTTGTAAGCAAGCATAGAATTATTGTTGGCAAGGTTTTCAGATAGAAAAGAAAATTGGTAGAGGTGGAGTAATGGGGTGACCAGGCCCCAAAACTCCGTAGTGGAGTCTTGTGGCCTTGCCACACTTTGTCCCAGAAGGCCATGGCTAGATGGCTGTGGAGGAACCAGCCAATCAGGGGCCAAGAAGTCCCTTAAAAGGAGCTGCAGGAACAGAGTCAGTTCAGTGCCACTGGCAATCTGAAGCAGTGAAGACTAGGTGACTGGCTGGCTGAGGGAACAGCAGCACCATGGAGAGCTCTGTGTGGAGAGGTATTGTGGACTATATTGAGACTGAGGCAAAGCCCTGAGGCAAAGGCAAGGACTATCTCCAGGAAGGGAAGCCCTGGAGGCACCACTCTCTACCCTAATGGGGAGCAGACTAAGAAGGAAACTAACAGAGGGCACCAAGATGGGCCCCTGTTAAGAATGTACCCCAGAAGGGGTTTGTGATGGTCCACACACAGGTTATGTGACTTGGCTGGAGGGCTGAGTTGCCGAAGAGGCTTTTGGCTGACAGATTAAGGGAGCGCAGACTTGCACTCTACCAGAAGGGGGCACTCACAGGAGCCGAGTGCCACCCCATTTCAGGTGGCAAATAAGGGCTTGTTGGTTCTACAGAACAATTTCTAAGGCAGCTTCTGTTGAATTTTAAAACAGCTATTTATCATTTAAAATATAAGGTGAAATCTAGAAACAAAGAAAGTAGGTCACATAAGATGAGAGACTGTATTCTATGAAGTGATCTCAAAAGAACTGAGGAATTGTGATGGACAACAAACTGTATATGAGTACCCATTGTGAAACTGTGGCTAAGAGGACTAATGTAGTCCTTGGATGTACCATCGGAGGAAAGAAGTATAAGTTGTATTACCTACATATATAGCACTAGTGAGACCATTATTGTAATGCTATAAATGGAACTGAAGAAAGGGTTCAGAAGAGCAAACAGAGTGATTCAAGGTCTGGAAAAATAGTATCTTACTGCCAGGTAGTTTTCAAAGAAGGTCAATCTATTTGATTTATTCAAGAGAAGGTTAAAGTTGCTTTGATCACACTCTGTAAGTACCCACATGGGGAGAAAATTTCAAATAGTAAAAGGCTTTTTAGTGTAGCAATGAAAGGTAAAATAGAATCCATTGGGTGGAAGCAGAAGTTAGACCAATTCAAAGTAGAACTAATGCTCCATTTATTTTTTTAACAGTGAGAACTGTTATCATTGGAGCAGGGAAGTGGTGAAGTCTTTAAGATTGGATGTCTTTCTAAAAGAAATCCTAACATTATGGGCTTGATTAAAAAGTGACCAGCTAAAATTCTTTAGCCTATGCTCCCTTACTGACCCAACTGCTGTCTTCCCTCCCTCTCCCCCTTACACCTGTGCTCACCCTGGCCACGTCACCAGCCCTGCTGCCATTGGCAGGCTGCCAGGTCATGGGCTCCAGTCCCTGCTGGACTTCCATGGGCTCTGGCTCTAGTGCTGCTGCTGTGGGCTCCACTGCCCTCAGGTGGTCTGCTGGCCCTCCCGCTGTGAGGCTTCCAGGGCTCTCTGATCCAGGAACATTTGTGGTCCTACTGGAGCACGGATGTTGCCAGACCAAAGAGTGTTGGTTTTGGGAGGTACAGCCTGTACTGCTAAGCTTATATAAGAAGTATCCCGATATAGCTATTCCATGTCTTTAAACATGCCCATTATTTTGAAATATATTTCAAAATAATGTGTGTGCTATTCCGGCATCCCTGTAGCGCTAAGGGACTTGTTGGAATAATGTTTTATTTCAAAATCTAGCACAGTGTTAGACAGTGCCAAATTTCAAAATAAGCTATTTTGAAATTACCTTAAAATAAGCTACACAATTTGTTTAACACAAATTCCATAGCTTATTTTGAGGTAAGGGTGCAGTGTATATGCAACCTAGAGGAACTGAGCAAATACTTCCCTATAAAATGAACTGCCATTTGTTTTTCAAATATACAATTTGCTTACAATTTTTCCTGACTCTTAAGGTTTCCAAACATCAATGTTTATCCTTAGAAGTCATCTTAGAATTATAACCCAAATGAAAATGGCTTCTCAAAATATGAACAAGTAATACAGAGTATTCAACTCATCACTCTATGCAAAACTGGCCAAAACCAATATTGCATTATCTCAAAGTAGATGCTGCAGAGCCTTTATTTCTCCTCTCTCAAAAAGTTGTCCAAAAATATAACTTATTCCTTTATCCTTCTATCTGAACAAAAAAGTAATCCTGTTTTCTTAAGGCATCAATTTTTACCTCTTTCATGATGATTTATAAGGTCGCAGGCTTCCTTTTATTCTATCACAGAGGCTTCTGTATTCTCAGTGCAGCTGACCTCTGAATGCACCATAGGAAGTAGAAAAGTTTGATACATCACTGCAGGGTTATTTCTTGTGATTGAAACAATGACTAGTGGAGCAGCAGGACACTCAGCAAGAAGCCTCTTAATTCTAATCATTGAAAACATTTCTTCCTCATCAAAATGACACTGGAGCTCCTAATACAATTCTTGAAAATGACTATGTTCAAGTAGCTACAGTCAGTCAGGAGAGCATTCAGTTTTTATACTTCACAAAGTAGAGTCATTTTTCAGAAAGAGTGCATGAAATGTATTTCTATAATTCTTAAAATCTAGACTATTTCTCTGAACTGTTGTTTCTACCAAGAATGACCTTTGGTTAACTGCTTCTTACCATGCCACTACCTTTTACTTAAAAAAAAAAAAAAAAAAAAAAGAAATAGAAAAAGAAATAACCTTGCAGTGTTGACATTAAAGATATTACTTCATAGATTATGTTCAGAAGTCAGCTATTATGAGGATAAACAACATTGCATGAAGAAATATGAAGCAGATCTTGGAGTATATTTACATGCCTCTGTCAGCACATAAGGTAGCTTTCATTTGGAAAAGTCTCATTTAACTTTGAAATTTCAAGAAAGTACACAGTGGCTAGAGTATAATCTATTTAAAAAAGTCTGGAATGTAGCTGGCATATTTTCCTCTTCCACTAATGGCTAATAAATTGCTATAGTGGTGCGAAAGTAATGTTGCCTAATAGTAAGTCTGAGCACAAGACCACCAACCATTAATTTCTAGGTTTCTCATTCCAGCTCTGACACTGCTTCCCTTTGACAAATTGCTAAACCTCTCTGCCTCAGTTTTCTTATCTGTGAACAACAACAATCCATTATTCAGAATTGTTGTAAAAATTAGTATATTTAAAGCACTCTGTAGATGTTACGATGAAATAGTACTATATTTCCCCCTTTTGCAGATTCAGACTAACACAGCTACCCCTCTGATACTATTTCCCCCTTTGTTACCTTGTTATATTTAACTATATAAATATACGACTATTGCTTATATGTGCTCACTTACATTTTGTTCGAGTAGTGTCCATAAAATTCAGTTGAAGTTAACGGCTCAGCAACAGTTAACGAGTTCCAGTCCCAGGCAAATATTTGTTTCTCCTAAATAAAAATAGTTTAATTAAACTATCTTGTCTTATAAGTGAATATGCAAATGTGTCCCATTAATGTGACCTGAGCAGCCTGAGCCCACTCTCTGGACTACCGTATTTTCCGGCGTATAAGGCTACTGGGCGTATAAGACGACCCCCTAATTTTTTAGTTAAAAGATAGGTTTTCGTCTTATACCCCAGCACCCCTCCGCCTCCCCGACTTTGCTCCCAGTGTCCCTGGTCTGCTGGAGACGGTCCCCAGCAGACCAGAGGCACCAGGAGCAAAGCCGCAGCGGTGGCGGGGTGCCACGCTTCTGAGGGGTATAAGACGAAACCCTATCTTTTAACTAAAAAATTAGGGGGTCGTCTTATACACCCAGTCGCTTTATACTCCGGAAAATACGGTAACTTAAAAGTGGAAAAGCCTGCCAGACCTATTTGCAGAACATGGAACCTATGAAAGAGCTATTCGCCCGGACCCCCTCCGGGGCTTTGCAAACCTTGGGGGGAAGCCGGCGGCAGGGCATCCCAGGCGTGCCTGGGCTGCCCCACCGCCTGTATACCCGGCGTATAAGACGACCCCCGATTTTTGGGGGATGCTTTTTAGCATCAAAAGTCGTCTTATACGCCGGAAAATACGGTATGTCATTTTGTCATGTCTTCACTAACACACACACATTCAGTTTGCTATATTCCAAGAAGCTACAGTTAGTCTGGTACATTTACATGTGTTATTTTGTTCACAGATATAAGCTTTATGCGTAAATTTGTTTTAACTTCTAATTCATGTACTTGGAAGAGACCCATTCTCCAAGAGTTATTTTCTGGGGGGAGAGGAGAATGCCCTTCGGCTGCTGTAGAAAACAAGTAGCTGTGAGAGAAGATGACATCTGGAAAGGTCACCCCTTGGAAAGCTCCAGAACAAGCAATTCCAAAGCTATCTGAGCTCTAATAGGCACTTGAGAATTAAAATGTATCAGAATACTTTGTTACCACAACCATTAAGAGTTCAGAAATATTATAAGAAAATATACAGCCAACAGCAAATATTTAACGTCCTAGAAGGAGAAAAGCAGCATGAAAATTGAAAAATATGAAAACTGCCCATGAATAGTAAATATTTTCCATCTCAGATTGGACCATGATTCCTTTCCAAGAATAGAAATTAGATAAGATAGTTCGTTAGCAAAGATAAATTATCTTCTGGACGTCATGTATTGGATACAGCTAGCTAGCAGTAAGAAAAAGGAAAAAAAATTCAGCTGGAGAGTATCAAAAAGACACTCAGATGTATCCTTCTTCCTATCCAGGGCTGGCCTTACCATGAGGTGACTTGAGGTGCCAGACTGGGGCAGGGTAGGAGGGGGCGCCACCGGGACCCAGAGAATTGAGATCTTTCAAAGTTTTGGCTCAAGCGAGGAGGCAGGGGGACATCATTTGAGCTCCCCACCTCAGGTGCCAAAATGTTGTGGGCCAGCCCTGTCCCTACCCCAGTAGCATTTGACAGCAGCTGGAGTCATAAAATGGACTGAAGTTTTAAAAAATCCAATTGCTTTGTTCTAGTTCCTCCTAAAGCCACTATCTAAACCTATTGTTCCTAAATATTAATTTTAGTGAGACAAGTGCACACCTCCCATATGAAACACCATCAAGTTGATCAAAACTCCAGATACTGTGGGATCATATAGTAATGTGAATATCCAGCACATCATGGGGATGGCCACTTTAAACTGAAACCAAAATACGAAAAAGCAAAGAAGTTCAAAGAGTGAACTTCAAGAACTGGGGACACACTGAGCAATCAGTCTTGCCTCGTTTTACTTAACTGCCATGTACTCTGCCACAGTACTATCACACTTGAGCCAAGCACACAGAATTAAAACTTAACTCAATCAATTCTGTAGGATTATCACAGGGACCTTGAAACCAACCCCTTCAGTGTCATCATTATCAGGGAGGTGGGATGTTACCCCTAGAAAATAGAGACAAAAATTGGTGTATGATCCAAGACATCCATTGTATGGATACAGAGTAAAGCCCCCTTCCTACCCGAAAAAGCAGAAGTCCAGAAAGATCTTTACCTCTGAGTTCAACACTACAGACATTTCTGAGATATCCTTCATATCTAGAGAAATGTCAGCAATCAGAGATTACTGATTATTTGAGAAAAGGTAAAAAGTGAAAAAACAGGGAGGAAATTATAGCAAATTTAATCAAAATAGATGAGAAGAGCAATGAAGCAAAGAAAAGCTGCTACCGGCATCCTCATATAAAATCAATCAAAGCAATGAAACACATTGGCAAGGGTTTTGTGCAGCTACCTCTGTTCTGCCAGAGAGAGAACTTCTGGAACTTTCCAGATGGTGAACTTGAAATGGCATCAGTGTCACGTACAGATCAACTATGACCATTTTGCAACAATTAGAGAGCATATTCATACATATTCAAGGACAGCTAAATAGGTCCTTAATAAAGAAATATTCAAGTGAACATATTAAAAAGTTATCACTGATATTTAGATACCCAACATATGACTTCCTATTCCTGTTCTCTAAAACGTTGAGTATCTCATGACAATCTGAAGAGGATGGGAGTTAGGATGCTAAGCAACCCTGAGAAAAAAATCTTAGATCTCAATTTGGGTGCACAAAAACAAAGACACATCAAGTTTAGTGAGACCACTTTTGAAAAGTTTGACCCTGTTATGCCTCCTTTGTTGTATGCCTGTTTATCTGCTTAACCTGACTGACCATCAAACAATGAATACAGTAAAAGATTTAAGAACTGTGAAAAAATATGGAGATCGTTCCAAAAGGCAGTCAGACATTTACAGTTCTCTCTGTGTGTCTCTATCAAGATCTTAGCAAGATCTCAGCAGTAACACATTTTTAGATATTAGTCTTACTACAATACATTTTTGTTTCTAGTTATAGGAATTGTCTTTATGCTTACTGGGCAACAGGCAACTAAGCCTACAAAAGCCCAATTTTCCCCTGAGGCCATTTCCTAATCATTATGTTACTGGGAGGACACTGGCCATTACCCTCAACTGCTTCAGCAGAACTGAAGCCCCATAAATGTTGCAAAATCTGCTTGAATCACTGCGAAGACCGTCCCTGGGTTCCTCACTCCTATGTTAGTAAGATGCCCTCTGGAGCTGCACTGCACAGCCTCATCACTTTCTCCTTCCAGGACACTATGGAAGGGTAGTTCGAACTGGGGTGCAGGAGGAATAATGGTAGTTCGAATTAGGAACTTTAATTCGAACTACCTAGTCCGTGCCGCATGTAGCCGCGAGCAGAGTGTTTGAACTACAGGGCATTTAAAAATGGTGGCATCTGGGAACATGCAAATAAAGCCCGGAATATTTAAATCCTGGGCTTCATTTGCAAGTTCGAATGCCTACATTAGCCACCCTACTTCGAACTACAGTGGCAGTGTAGACAGACCCGAAATGAAGTAGACAATTACTACTACATCAAATAGAAATAACGTCTAAGCAGATTTCAACTGCTTCCTCAGCTTCGTCTCCAGGCCTGTGCCATTCAGAAGGATTGATCCCTTAGGGTATGTCTACACTACCACCCTAGTTCGAAGGGATTTAAATATCCCGGGCTTCATTTGCATCTTGCCGGACGCTGCCATTTATAAATCCCTGGTAGTTCGGACTCCGTGCCCGTGGCTACACGCGGCACCGAGTAGGTAGTTCGAATTAGGCTTTCTAATTCGAAGTACCGTTACTCCTCGTGGAATGAGGTGTACCGGTAGTTCGAATTAGAGAGCCTACTTCGAACTACCTACTCTGTGCCGCGTGTAGCCGCAGGCACGGAGTCCGCACTAACAGGGATTTTAAAATGGCGGCGCCCGGCAAGATGCAAATGAAGCCCGGGATATTTAAATCCCAGGCTTCATTTGCAACTTCGAATGACTACATTAACCACTCTAGTTCAAACTAGGGTGGTAGTGTAGACATACCCTTACTGCATGGAGGTGCTTACCGTCAAGTATGGAAGCCGGGGCTGAATGCACTGAAACCTATATTTTTCCCTCGCATTGAGGATTAGGTTTCCATTTTGCTGCCCAGCACAGCTGGATACAGCCAAATAGTTTAAAAATCGAACCTCTTCACAACAATGAAAATATTACCTCTTTGGAGAGCATTATACTGCAGGTGGCATATAGCAGCAGAGCAAATTCCTTCATCTAGTTCTGGAAATGAAAGAGAGATTAAAATAATTCCTTTCCCAACTGTTAGAAATCTTCTTTTTAAGTTTCAATCATTGTTTTCCCTCCAATTCATATTTGTTATACTAAAATAAGATTAATACTAACTGTACATGATAACCTATCAGTCCATCTTCATGTTGTGACTTCAGTGAACCATTCCAAGCTTGCTCTTGTGGTTTATGATGTCATCAGAACTCTGTGAAATCAATTAATCTTCACTTATGTAAAGCTAGAAGTTTCAGCTGGGAAGGAGATTAATTTTACCACAATTTAAATGAAGATTAAACTTAAATAAATAAAACTAAGATCACCTGATGATGAATTTCTAATCTAGAATGTAAAGTAGTATATAGTTCAAAACTCAGAAAGACATACAATGCAGATATATTATTCAGCATAGCTTTTCATATATGAAAAGTTAAGACATGCAGACAGTATATTGTTTAGTCAAATACTATCTTTCAAACATATAATATTTAAATGTTTCACCTGTTACAATATATTAATTCTCCACTTAATAATAGGCCATTTATCAGAACCAATACATTGCTTTTGGAAAGTGACATACATCATTGTAAATCAGATTAATTCAAAGTAAGATGACTTCTAATCAACACCTATCAAATCTAATACATCTTTTGAACCAAGTGTATTACCTGGTAAATCATATCAGTAATATGTACAGTACATGCTAAATTGATGACTCATTAGATAAATTATATAGCAAATGCATGATAAAATAGCATTTATTAAAATAGATCAGTGAATCGTTTAATCTCGGCTCCTAGAACATGACACATTGACTTCTGTGGAATTCTCCAGAAGTCAAAGATTTAAGAGAATGGTGGCACCACACTTAAAATGGAGGTGAAGGATGTTGTCTAGGCTTGGTAGAGGGAAGGTAGCAGTGCTTTACAAGTGGGGGAGGAGGAGGATTAGAAACTCGGACAAAAGGTGGGTGGGCTTCAGCTTGGCTATGTTGACTTATTTTCCAAAACATAAGGGTGGAAGATTTTAAAAGGTGCAAGCCCAGATATTAGAAACCCTTTTTCCAGGCAGCAAGCAAGGCAGCACCCACCCTGATGTGGTAATATCAGATTTGGTAAGGACCTCCTGTGAGCATTGTGCTAGTCCCTCCTTTTATGGGGGCTGGGAAGGAATTTTTTCCCTCACTGCCATATTTGCCAAGGTACAGTGGGTTTATTTTTGCCTTTCATACAGTGAGTGTCAGGGAGGACTTACTGTGGTGATTAAGGTAGTGGGTTATTCCATACATGTCAACACATTTTGTAAGTGTGGGGCAGATGTCCAGTGCAGGTACTGGACCATCTAGTGATCAGATAAATGGTCTAGTAAGGGACTTTAAAAGGAGGTGCTGATTAAAGGAATGGAACGATGGAGAGTGGGACTCGGGGCTTCTATGACTGGTATGGCAGGGAGCCAACTCCCTTTTCTTATAGCCCACCTTAATCCTTCTGGGGTGGGGAGGTGGTAAAGTCCGAGCCTTTGGTTGGCTGGGGAGACCTGAATGGAAAATGAGAAGGGGTTGGTAGAACCCAGATAATTAGTTCAACAAACATGGAGTCCCAGACATCTGATAATATAATTGTGGTCTGATTAAATTATTACAATTGCCTCCTGTTCTCCTTTCAGTATAGCCAGACAAAGGTGGAAGAGCCAGGTAAAATGTACTGGAAAAGAGCAAAATGTGTTCACAATATAACTGTCACCAGAAGAAGAAATCTTACATTGCATTGTGTGTTTGGGATGGAGGAGGTAGTGGATTAGGAATGTTAATTTAGATTAAAAGGCTAATTGAATAGTCGATGCAATAGTCTATAAGGGCTGTTGCTACACTTCAAAGGCAAAAGCACTTTGGTGTATGGGATCAGCAGGGGATTCAGGCAGTCCCCCACTGGTCCCATGCTCCCCGCAGCATTTCAAAGCGACAGCGGCACATGGAGCCCAGGGTCAGTGAGGGAATCCCCAGCTGGCCCTGCTCTGCACACTGTGTTTCACTGCTCAGGCAGCATGTAACCTGCTCCTCCACTCCCCATGGAAGCCACATGCTGCTTGAGCAGTTGGAGCTGGCACAGTCCCTGGACTCCTAGTCTCCCCTCCCCCCCACCCTGCGCAGGCAGGAAGCAGGGGGAAGGAAGTCGCCGGCGGCATGACAGACCTGGCATTTCAGGAAACACACCGGCTGTTTGGGAGAGGGAAACAGTGCATACTCTTCCTGAGATGCCAGTTCTGGCGTGCAGCTACAGGACTTCCTTTCCCCATTCCCCACGCTTCAAGAAGCTGGCGCTACCTCCACTTTCATAGGAGGTAGCAGCAGCGCGGGCTCTTTCTTTGGGTGGGGGGAAATGATGGGGGGGAGCTGGGTCACCTTGTGCCACCCTTGGAATCCTCCCCCTCTTCTCCTAGTTTGGGAACCGATACTCTAGTGGATGTGTAAAATACGAGAAGTAATTACTCTTCTGGTAGCTGGAGTTAGTCCAAACTGAATGAATATTTCAATTCCAACACAGAAAAACAAATGGCAGAAGATTAAGACAAACAAAAATATTTCAAAGTTTGAAGAAATAAAACTTCTGATGAAAAGGGTGAACTGAGTATATTCATTCACGACTGATGTGAGGCATTGTTACTATGTGCATATTCATTTTTATTTATATTTTATTATTTATATTATTACTTTAAATTAAGTATTCATCAAGAGCTCTAGGTTAAGTGAACAAATTCATAACAGAAAAAAAGCTACCAGTGGTTCAAAATCTCTCTCAATTCTAGTTCCTACATAAAACTAACTTACCCTCAAAGCCCTTTCCCCTTTTTACCATTTAGCCTCCTCCAACTCCCTCTCCAGGGAAAGACTTCAGGACAGATGTGGTTGAAGACATGATGAAGGCCAACAAATCCACTAAAAAGCAAACTAAAGTGATTATATGCCCAAAAATGACAGAGAGGACAGGAAGTAAAATAATAAACGACCTCTCTCAAAATCTACTTATCACCAACTTCTAAATGTACTGGCTGCTCACATTCCTCTCCTGAGATGGAAGACTCAGCAGCTTAAAACTGGTTAAATGTCCACCCAGTTTCAATCTCTATAATATACTGCCACTCCTCCATACAGCAGAAATAGGAAACACTGTCTGAAATTTAAGAAGTTATTTGGAATTTGCAGAAAGTAGCAGAAAGACTACCTCAGATAATGAAATGCATTAGTGTCAGTGAGTATATTGTTAAAATACTGCATCTGAGAATATTAAATAAAGGGGTCTAGAACTTAAGGGACATGTGGAAGATGAGTGGAACATTAGCTTCCCTGGAATCCCCAAAAAAGAACAAACAACATGGTGGACTTCACTAAAGAATTGTGGGTTTCCATTTCTGTACATATTAGTTTGACAGTAATCACTCAGGAGTGGTAGCAATGACTATTTTTGTTTTGTTTTGGTGCCATTTTTTATTCTGATGTAGTGGTGGTGCATAAGTTGTACCAGGCTACCCTCAAAATAGGCCAGGAGGAATGGGGTCTCTGAACCACAATTGCCCCTTTTGTACTAAAGGTAGTTAAGGGAAAGTATTTTACTGCAAGCCTTCAACAAGGTGAATTTTTCTTCTCCCTGACATGTGGCACTCTGACCAGAAAATGACTAAGACACAACCTAAAACTACCTACTGAAGTTAGCCAGAGGTCATCTTGATGTTCAGTATTACTATTTTTTCCATATAGAGGAAAAATTAAGACAGAGGATCAAATTGTGAAGCCCCTTAACATACTCTGGTGAGCACTCACACAAAGAGCAGTTCTACTGAGTGACTGAAGCACTATCCTTCAAAATATAATCAACTTTTTTTTCTGTTCAGCTTCAAATCCATCTCTGAAACCCATTTCTTCCTGAAAATCTCTCTCCACCATTTTTTTAAACAGCCAATAGAAAACTATTCTCTTTTCTACAGTATGAGCTCTTTGGGGGAAAAATGTCTCCCTTTACTTTCTAACCTACTCCTACCTCTGCAGCATTATACAATTAAAAATAATTCACACAGTGTTTACAATTTTTGAAACCCAATGTAAAAAGATGTATTTAAAAGTTGGTAGCCTCACACACCACATGCAGAATTTTTTCAAAGGAAAATCACCATGAACAAAATACGAAAATAACAATGGTTTTAATATAGCTCTGCCCTCTGGATTGAGATTCATTAAACATGTAGGCTTAAGATAAATCATAAGGAACCTAATGTTCAAAATCTCTGTGATTGTAGCCAAGGAATGTATTTCATAACGATAGTCACAATGCACACTGCCAGCAGGGCTGACAGCCACCACGGGCTCCGGGGCAAGGTGTGAGGGAACCTGACTCTGTCCCTGGAAGGGCCTCCAGGCCTGAGAGCTATGCAGAGTGGCACTCTGGTGGCAATTCAAAGGGGCTCAGGGCTCCAAACACTGCTGCTGCAATTGGGACAGCAGCAGTGGCTGGAGCATCGGTCCCCTTTGAATTACTGGGGCCCTGAAGCATCTGCTCAATTTGCCCCTCCCATCAGCGTGCCTACACATTGCAGTCAATATGATCTGAGGCTAGGAACAGCACTCATTCAAAAAAAAAAATCAGGACATTTTTATGAAGGTGCTTAAATATGGCTTCAGATCTGTGGTGGACAACCCGTGGCCCACCAGGGTTCTATTTGTACCCTGCAAAACATTTTGCTTATCATTGCCCACATGCAGAGTAGCCAGCTTCTGCATAATTGTTTTTTTTCCTCCAAGGTGTTACAAAAGTGACACACACATAAAGCAAAGCACGTGAAGTGAGACGCATGTTGATTACGCACATGGGGCTCGTCTACACTGGCCCCTTTTCCGAAAGGGGCATGGTAATTTTTGAGATCGTAATAGGGAAATCCGCGGGGGATTTAAATATCCCCCGCGGCATTTAAATAAAAATGTCCACCGCTTTTTTCCGGCTTTTAGAAAAGCCGGAAAAGAGCGTCTACACTGGCCCCGATCCTCCGGAAAAAGCGCCCTTTTCCGGAGGATCTTACTTCAAAGTAGGAATAAGATCCTCCGGAAAAGGGCGCTTTTTCCGGAGGATCGGGGCCAGTGTAGACGCTCTTTTCCGGCTTTTCTAAAAGCTGGAAAAA